GTTATATGTCACCTATAAGTTTAAGTAACACGTACTCACAGACAGGGGGAAAAACAACAACAACAAAATCCCCAAAAAGGAATAAAAATATTAAAAATGGTGTTCTCCCCAGCTTCAACTATGAGATGATAATAATAACATTTCCCAAAACAAGCCACCTCTTCTGTTTTACTCCCTTTCTGGTATCTGTGTGAGTGGGCTGCACAGTTTTCTGTTACTTCAACACAGAAAAGGAAAAAACAAACAAACAAACAAAATCAACCAATGTGGATTTAAATCAAACGTCAAACGGGGTCGCTAACAACCGGCAGTGTGAGATACCTCAGTCTCACTATCCCAGGCGAGAAAGGAAAGGAAAGCGCATTTAAAACCTACCCTTTTCTTTGCGTGCACGGACTTGGTCTCGGCAGCAGCGGTCGGGCGACTTGAAAGAAAAACTATAATAAGAATTTTAACAATAATAACAATAATTTAAAAAACAAAAAGAGGAATTCCACTTGAAATCACAGCAGGGGAAAGCGTCGGAACATTGTTTCCCTCCCTCTGCCCTGCTCGCTCCTGGCTGGGCAGCGCTGAGGAGTCCACACAGGCTGAGCTGCTCCGCTGTAATTGGACGCTGCGAGCCGGAGGAAACTGCTCGCGTTTGCCAGGGCTGGACTTCAGTGCTGATGATGCTCCATTAAGACTTAAGACTCTTGTCTCCCTCCTCTCATATTATTATGCGGCTTTGATTCGTATTCCCCCTTTCCCCCCTGACTTTATCGGTTGCTTTCTTCCAATAGTGACCCACTCTTCTAATTATCTCTGCTTGAACGGACTCCCTCCCCCTTCTCTCTCTCCTTCTCGCTCTGTGTGCATGAGTGAGAGAGCAATAGAGATGGAGATCCCTCACTCCTTTTACTCTCATTTATTCACTTTCATAACACACTAGGTGATCCTCTTGCCGCCGTCAACCTTTTGTTACAGTTATTTTTAAGTGACAGTTCCACAGCAGAAGGAAGGACGCTAAAGAAAAAGCGCCACGTTACTGTGAAACAACACATTAGCAGGGAGGGAAGCAGAGTGGTTTCAGAACCACGGACAGCGGCCTCGTCTTTTATTGTGAAAGGTTACGGGCGTGTAAAATGTGATCATCCATGGTCTACTGCTGAGAAAGAGACGCTCATCATATATTTCCGGCTGTGACGACGACAGGAATGAGATTCTGAGTTGAAAAAGTCCTATTTCGATCTGGCTAAGGGCAAGAGAGTCCAAGCTGAACCGCCAGCCTCTCAATATCCTGAAAAACCACACTACTCAGTCATACTGCAGACACAGTTCATTACCGGCTGTGTGGCAGAGGATGATTTTGAGCACAGGTTACATTCTATTTTGCAGCATTTTGCAGTCTGCTGTCTTGTACTGTGGCACAATACAAACAACTTTAAAGCTACTGACAGGTAAATAATGTAAATCAATTTGTTCTGCTCCTCTGACAGGTGCCATCCACTCAACAGCAGCAGTCGTTCCCAGCAGGAAAACGTCCCTGCTATGCTGTTATTAATGGCAATTTTCACAAACAGTTATTGTATTAGAACACCAGTAACAGCCCAAGGCCTCCAACATTCCCAGATCCCAGTCTGATCAAGTTTGTATGCGACGTGCAAGAAGAAACCAGATCCATGGAGGTCCCACTCTAAAACCCACAGGACTCAGAAGGTCAGCTGCCAACGCCCTGGTGTCAGAGGTTCTCTGTTCATATCCTGGAATGGTGGGGACCTACAAAAAATTAGACAGGTGATTTAAATATGGTCTGATTAGTGGACAGTTCTCATGGAATTTGGCATTCCTTAAAGTTTTCTTCCCATTACCTTTCCTTAGGAAAGGCTTATTTACAGCCACCCTGGATCGCCATGGAAACAACACTGGTCCATCCTTTGAGTTAGGTTCCATATTTATTCTTAAACAATCATAGGTCAGTGTTAGGTGACCTAAAAAAAATTCTTTGAAAACACGGACCAGACTAAAAAATTGGTGAAAACGCAACCAATGTCCAAAGAAAAAAAATTGAAAGACATTCAGAAAGCCTACACAACTATTTCCTTAACCGTTTCACTCATAGTGGTCACTACAGTGGACAGCTATTCAAAGGGTGTTTTCTTGTATTTGTGTCAGTGTTGATGGCATACTTGCACATAAAACACTATATTGGACTGATGTGACGCTTCATACACCGCCACCCACTGGTCGTTTAATGTTACTATAGGTGTATAAAGGGTTTCACTGTAATTATTGTTATTTAACACTGTCATGCATGAATTATGACAACCTCAATCAGGATTTTTTTCTTTATTCATCTTTTCATGCCTAAAGAATAAAAATACTTAAGAAAAAAAAATCCTGATTGAGGTTGTCATAATTCATGCATGAAAGGGTTAAAACCACTTTTTAAAAATAACATGAAACTCTGGCTTCTTGGAAGGAAACTGTAATGAATTGAGGGGTGGTTCAAAACCTTTGCACAGTACCATATATTGGACATATTGTGTCCTACTCAATGAGCTCCCAGCTCCTGTATCAACCATAGACTGTTTATAAATGATAGACATAGCCACCGTGGAGTTCCCACTTGGTTTGGACTGTAAAGTTAGCATTTGGAAAAGAAGCATGACAATATTGTTTTTTAGGAATCAGATGTGACCATATCTAGATGAAAGGTTGACATGCATATTTGCCAGATGACAAGCTTTGTTAGCGATCTGATGAATATCTGCTAATGAGTGCTAACAGTCTAATCCTATACTCACCAGCTCTGTTCCATTCTCAGCAAGCCTGATTATTTTTCTTATAACGGCATTAAAAAATACCCAACAGTACAAACACAGTCAACATGTCCAGTCTGATGAGCCAAAATTTGCAGGGGTGAGGCCTAACAGACAGCAATCAGCTACAGGGTCCTGTCGATTAAAGCAGCCACACTTTTAGATTTTATGTCTTACCAGTATCGATGATGCATGAGTTATTGAAAACAAATCACCCTCTGTACAGTCGTTAGACATAAACTATCCAAAACAATTTGTTTAACTAGGCTGTAAACATGCTTTATAATGCCATTTAGTTGGCCATCTTACAAAGAGAGTCTATGGGGACTGACTTGCCAGCCTCAAATGAGCATTAGAAGAACTTGGTTTCATTTTTTATCCAAAGGCGTTACAGCTTGATATCAACAGCACTCGATTTATCGCATTTTAAATAGGTTTAAACAGCCTACACAATTACTGAATACAGAACTAATGTTAATGTTGATGTGCATTATACTCCTTAGATTGACAAAATATGGTCATTTAGACTCTTTATCCTCTGACACTTTAATGTACGTATACTGTGGCTCTTGTGAGAAATTTAATTGAAATAATTACAAAGAATGAAAAAAACATAGTTTGCATGTGTCAGGGGGCACACAAACAGACATGTCTGGAGGTTAATGAAAATCACTAGTGTCAGTCAAATTGTAAATTGGGTTCACTTTTATCCATAACTTTCAACTTAACGATATCCACCTCTTCTAGCTAATTTTCTCTTTCATCCATTAAACTTCAACTTGAACAGATAGGATATATAAAATACAGTTAAATGGTTGACTCAGTATTTTTGTTAATAAATAGCTCCAAATGCTAATCATGCAAAATGTCAAACAGGATGAAATTAACGATGTGATCACATTTTTTTCTTCCAATAGGTCGATCGTCTCTTCACTGTAATATCATTATGTCATTATTCAAAGCCATAACTCAGAAAAAGGGAGGTTGTAACTATATTTCACCTGGGGGAAGCCATTGAATTAGCTTCGTCACTAAAACTAGGTGCCCTCCCTATAGCTTGAACCTGCCAGACTGATATGTGTGAGTCATCCACTAGTTAGAATTTGCAGCATCTTTGAAGCAACAGTCACGTTTCAAGCACCGTCTACACCAGCGGCCTCAGCCTGGTGTTCTGTCAGAATCAGCTTTATTGGGCGAGGATAAATACATTGAGCACATTTGATCCAGTCCTTTTCAAGTCTTCACTGTAAGTTGGGATTCTGGACAGACTTGGCTGGTGGGGGCATTCAGCTGTGAGGTGGTAATTCTTAGTGATGTGCGGATCGATATTGATTGATATTGATACCAGTTATTTATGTTCTAGAATCGATTCTCATATTAAAATATCGATATTTTAGTAATTTGGGGTAAATTTGTAGTTTATCATTAACAGGAACACAGTGGAAAGAAACTATATCATTTGGAAGGAACTACTTTCTCTTACAGCTGTATGAATGTGTGGCAGCCCCTTGGCATGTGCACTCACAACAACAGCTGAGCATAAACGGAGTTGTGTGTAGACGTATATTTCCTCCACAAACAGCCAAGACGCGGTTTGCGATACATGTGGCAATTCTGCATTATTAATAATAATAATAATGGATTGAATTTATATAGCGCTTTTTGAGACCCTCAAAGTGCTTTACAATTCCACTATTCATTCACTCTCACATTCACACACTGGTGGAGGCAGCTACAGTTGTAGCCACAGTGCCCTGGGGCAGACCTATTAAACAATAGGAACAAGTAGTCTGATGTCCTGTAATCATAATGAAGCTATAATTTGAAATACAATAAAACATTAAGTTTTTGCACAAAGTATCGGATCCGTATCGTCGATACCACCCTGAATTTTACTTGGTATCAGATCGGAAAGGAAATCAGTGGTATCGTACATCACTAGTAATTCTAGTTATTCCAACTGTTTGATGGTTAAAAGCTAGATAAACCTGCTTTTAGCTGTTTTAACTGAACATATTACCTACTAATTTAAGCTAGCAGTTTTAGTCATGCTAACTATTTTAGCTATT